TAGAAGAAAGAAGCCAGGAGATGCCCAAGCAGCTGGCTTGTGAGACTGGTCTTCGTCTGGTCTCTACCCGTTGATCTTTCAGGCATGATTGGATCTCCGGCTGTGAAAAGCCATCCTGTGTAACTCGCATGGTCACTGAGGCGCGCAAGCCATCACACCACGTCAAGGTGCAGTCTCGTCGTGATGGGTTTCCTTACTCAGCCAATCAAGTCTCGTCTAAAGTTCACACGATCAAAAGTTAAGGTCATAACGTGTTCGGTTGGGGCGGTGGGAACGAGTAGTTAAATCCCACGCCACCGAAACTTTCAACATCGCTCGGTAACCCACTCATAATGTACTTTTGTTTGTCTATGGAGAAATCAGTTCACTCCTGACTGGACGGGGTTTTGGTAGACCCGGTCCAATCGGTTACGTGTGACAGTAGGAGAACCAATCACTTTGTTGAGTGTCTGCGCATCGCTCCGCTTTCTCTTCTGAACACGGTCAACCCCAGAGACCAATGCCATCGCTGTGACCTCGTAGCTCAGCTGGTAGAGCGTGCGCTGTACAAAAGCGTATGCAGTGTCCATGTATCTATTCTAGAGAACGAATCACACAATTGTCAGATTCAATATGCCCCGATCAGTTTTAGACAGAAATAAGTGAATTCGAGAAAGGACCGAGTGCGAAACCAATGGTAACTTCGATCATCTGAGTTCAGAGGGCACTCACCACTAGAACAAACCGAATGTTACGTGTGCTACGTAGTAGTAGCAGCTCCTTGGGGTGAGTGGCCGGACTCAGAACAATGTGATTTGGCACTGCCATTTAGTCACTGTCACCATCAAGGGTACGTAAGAACAAGAACAGTGGAACGAGATCTAAGGAAAACAGTCCTTTTCTTGGAAATCCAAGTTCGATAAAAATTGGGAACAGTCTTGAACACTGTACCCGGCGAGTCTACGATGGACAGGTTCTTTCAACTGAACCAACTGGTGTGCTGTTGTGTGACATGTATTCCCCAGTGCTATAACAGATCCAGCTAGGACTATTGTCGTGGGATTGTTGACGTACATAGTTTCATTCTATAAAATGTTGTGTTGTCTATATAACCGTGTAGCAATCGTGAATTATCTAGTGAACGCGGGATACAAGAAAGAACAGGAGAAATTTTTCAATATTTTTTTATCGCTACCGCTCAAGCGATCGAAGGTGGTTCGAGTTTAAACCTTAGTCATGCTCGAGGCGATCATCATCCGCTTACCAAGCCCCGCGAGGGACTGGTTAAAGTACCTCAACCGCCCTGGTCTAAAGGGCAGACCATGAAAGAACATAGGGTGTCACGTGAACCATGTGGAGATAAGTCATATTGAACAACAAAATAACTATAAACACACGCACACTTTAGAGTAATGATATGAAACCAATGAAACGACTATCATTGTGTAAGCATTTTTCCACTGTTATATCTACAGGCGGATGATTACGAATTACCCAAAACAATAGTTCGTTCGCAGAGGTCCTAAAAATGCTGAAATGGGAATATTAAAAATATTAACTTATTTTAGTCTGAGATAGGGAATATAAGAAAACATGTACGTGGAAATGTATATCGTATAAAAACGTCAACTGTTTCATGAAGAGAGACACATACAGCGGTGGAAAGTGTATCTACATCAATCGTGTGTATTCTTTCTAAGGCGAGTCGCTTTGGCTGAACAATAAAGGAAACACGACAAATCTTCCAGGAAAATCGAACAAACAGGTTTCATGGAAAGCGGACCGTCGTCCACCCGATTGAGGTGAACCAATCCAAAATGCAGACACACACAACTGTTAGAACGTTGACTGACCTTGGAATCACTGCATTTCGGGAGACCGGATGTGTCCGTTTCAACTGTCCCAGTTTGTCCGCAATCTGTTGTTCAACCTCCGGTGTATGTGTATGATTTTCCGGTTCCAAAAGAGGAACTTTCACATCTTCCCTAATTTGGAATGAGAATAGAACGAGATGTGATCAGTAAGGAAACCCCCCGGACAGGAGGAGAAGAATGAGAATCAAAAGCTGATCTGTTTAGGTAGAGATGTGTCAATCGGGGTAGGAGAACCGATAAGAAAGTGAGATGTAACAAATTGTCCTGTCATGCTGGTCGTGCCCAGTTGCAACAAAACCGCGTGGCCACTAACAACAACAACAACACCGAACTCACTGACAGGCAAGGACTTGCCTCGAGTGCCTTTTTAGACACAGGTTCGCGTAAAGGTGTGTATTTAGAATACAAACGAGGGAGGGAGAGAAAGATTCAGGTACATCAGAAATGAGTTAACGAAGGTATGGAATACAACAACCATATGTCTGCAAGCCCATGATCACAATTTTATGAACGTATTCTAGTTCTCATCTGTCAAGTGTGTACGGTGAACAGATAAGCCAATGTAAGAAAGATAACAGTGGATTCGAATTCGGGGGAGGCGGGGGGGGGGGGGGT